TCTGGGATCTTGATTCTGTCTCTTTGGTTTATTTTTCTCCCGTTCCATACAGATTTTGATTACTATAGTTCTGTAACATAGCTAGAAATCACAAAGTATAGTGCCTCCATATTTGTTCTTTTTTCCTCAGCACTTTAATTTTCAAGTCTTTTATGGTTCCATGTGATTTTTCAGTTCTTTTTTATATTTTCTTTGAGTCTATGAATATTTGAGTACAATGAACATTTTGCAATATCAGTTAGTCTGATCCATGAACATAGGATATTTCCCATTTATTTGTGTCTTCAGTTTAAAATAAAATCAATGTTTTGTATGTTTCAGCGTACAGGTCATTTTCCTCCTTGATTAAATTAATTCCTAATGGTGGGAAATGTACACTGGTGGAGGCATTGGAGTTGGAACATTGTGTGACTGAAACCCAATCATGAACAACTTTGTAATTGTGTATCTCAGTGATTCAATTAAAAGTTAATTAATTCCTAAGTTTCAGTATGGTCAGGCCTTTGCTGCAAATCAAGGATTCCGTTGTGAGGTTTGTGAAGTGGCAGCACTGGAGGTAGCGCATAGAGCATTTGCCTTGCAGGCAGCTGACCTTGGTTTGATCCCTGACAGCACATATGGTCCTTTGAGCACTGCCAGGGATGACCCCTGAGCACAGAGTCAGGAGTAAGTCCTGCACACTGTCAGGACTTACTGGCCCCCAAACTCCCCAGATTAAAATTAATTAAAACCTCAGCCTTATGCACATTCTGTGTGCTTTTATGGTTTTTCTTTCTGTTTTTTTTTTTTCTTTCCTTTTTGCTTTTTGTGTTTTGAATCACACCAGCAATGCTCAGGGGTTACTCCTGGGTCTGCACTCAGGAATTACTCCTGGCAGTGCTCAGGGAACCATATGGGATACCGGGAATCAAGCCCAGGTTGACCCAGTGCAAGGCAAATACCCTCCCCGCTGTGCGGTTGCTCCTGCCCCTGGCTTTTCTTTCTTTGTCTTCATTGACTCTATTAGTCCTCCTCAGGTCTCATACTTTTTAAATTGTGTGAATTTGGACCATCTTTTTTTTTTGGGTTAAACTCAGTGGGTGCTGGGAGTCCCATCCAAGCAGGGCAGTGCTCAGTATACCAATGGTGCTGGGATTGAATATGGTCCTTCTGCATGCAGGATATGTGCTTCAGCCCTTTGAGCCATTTCCTCAGTCACAAGTTTAGGCTTTTTTCTTGGTGGAGGCAGGGGCACACCTGGCAATGCTCAGGGGCTACTCCTGGCTCTGTGCTCAGAGATCACTCCTGGCAAGACTCAGGGGACTATAAGGGATGCCAGAGATCAAACCTGGGTCAGCCACATCTAAGGAAAGCATCTTTGCTGCTCTCCAGTCCATTTGGGGCTTTTTAAACTTGATGTCTATAGTCAAAAGATTGTTAATGTTTATCCCAATATATGCATTGGTAAGAGGTCCTAAGGGGCTCTCAGTGTATAAAATATCTATTTCTGGGCCTGGCGAGATAGTACAACAGGGAAAGCCTTTGCCTTGCATGCAGTTGACTCGGGTTCAGTCCTGAGCTCAGTCAAGAGTGATCCCCGGGGGCTGGAGAGATAGCACAGTGGGTGGGGCGTTTGCCTTGCACGCGGCCAACCCGGGTTCGATTCCCAGCATCCCATATGGTTCCCTGAGCACCGCCAGGAGTAACTCCTGAGTGCAGAGCCAGGAGTAAACCCTGTGCATCGCCGGGTGTGACCCCAAAAGCAAAAATAAATAAGTAAATAAATAAATAAGTAAATAAATAAATAAAAAATAAAAGAGTGATCCCCAAGCACAGAGTCAAGATTAAGTCCTGAGTACTTCCAGGTGTAGCCCCAAAACAGAACAAAAATTAAATAAAATGCCTATTTCTGGACTGGAACCCTAGATAATCCAGCAGGTAGGGGTCTTGCCTTGCACACAGTCAACCTGGGTTTGATCCCTAACACCCCATCAGGTCCCCTAATCACTGAGCACAGAGATCTTTGGTGTGGCCCCAAAGAGCAAACTTTTTAAAATCTATTTCTGATAGATTAGAGAAACCTTTGGTTTGTGAGCTGGTCTGAAAAATTCCTGTTTGTGTTTTATGTTCACTGTATCATTGTCATCCCATTGTTCATTGATTTACTCGAGCAGGCGCCAGTAATGTCTCCATTCGTCCCAACCCTGAGGTTTTAGCGGCCTCTCCTTACTCATCTTTCCCAATGCTGCTATATTAGAGGCTCTTTCAGGGTCAGGGGAATGAGACCCATTATATATATATATATATATATATATATATATATATATATATATATCCCGTTATATATATATATATATCCACAAAAGTTCACATCACTCAACCTTTAACACCATGTTGGTGATATCCTAAGGAAGGTCTTAATGGCCCCTACCAAAATAGAACAGTCTTTACACTGTTTCCCCTATGGATACTTTTTTGTAGCATTTTCAGCAATTTTTTATAGCAGAAAATACAAAATATATTATTTCGGTTGTACTTTGGGACAGGGATTGGGGCTTAGGATGGAAACATTCCAAATATGGTAGTGGAATTGGTGTTTGAATATTAAATGTAATCAAATATTGTGAACTACCTAAAATAAATAAATAAACCATGTTCCCTCAGTCATTGTCAGGAGTGACCCCTGAGCACAGAGCTACGAGTAGCTCTTGAGCACCACTGGGTATGGGTCTCGCTCAGAAAAAGAGAACCTCAAAGTTCATCTTGACAGTTGTCACAGTTCACTGTGGGACACTGAATGTTACCTCGTAATGCCCCAGAATTGAGCAGAGGCTAAGAAAGGGACATAATATTTAATAATAAATTTTTAATTAATTTCTTTTTGGTCATACCTGATAATGCTCACGGGTTATTCCTGGCTCTGCACTCAGGAATTACTCCTAGCTGTGCTCGGAGGACCATATGGGATGCCGGAGATCAAACCCTGTTCAGCTGCTTGTGAGACAAACCATGCTATCACTCTGAACCCCATATATTATAATCATTTCATTTCACTCACTGCGTAGTTAAAAGCTTCTTTAGGAGAGCTCAATGGCCCTGAGTTTCCATGTGTTCCTTGCACGAGACTTCGGCATTAGAGGCAGCAGCAAGGAGTCATGAAGCGGGCTGGGGAGTCCTGGCCTCTATAGCGACATGACTGGCATCTCCCAGCTCAGCTTCCTCCTCTGTAAAGTGGGATAATCCCTTCCAGATTGTTTCAAGGACCAGAGGAGTGCAAGAACCCTAACACACACTGTAGTCTGGGGGGGCTCTCAGCCCAACTGAGAGAGCTCTGAGGAGAGGCAGACCGGCCTGTGGCCTTGCTGTGGGAGCAGAGGCAGAGGCAGGCTCCATCTCATTCTGGCCTGCCTGGCAAATTGTAGTAGGCCAGTTTCTTTACATTTTTAAGCTTAACTGAAACAAACCAAAAAAAAAAAAAAAATTCACTGAAGAATTAATTCTGCAGAATTTTAAAATAACAGGATCCCTCAGTTTCTGGCATGTGGTCCATATTAGGTCAATGTTCAGGTTGTATCTTTCTCTCTGGCTCTGCTGTGTCAAGTTGTGTGTGTGTGTGTGTGTGCTGTAGGAACCAGCCCCAAGGAATGGTTATGTGACGTGGTCTTTGGGCACATACTTTTGGGAAAGTGAAGATAACTGAGGCTTTCTGAAATGCCCTGTTGCTGATGATGGTCCCTGAATGAGGCATTCCACACTCATTACTGCTGTGTTGGGGTGCTGCTTTCATGGGAAGGATCAGGCAATTATATGAGCTGATTTTTGAGAGCTTGTTTGGAGAGCTGTGTTCAAGACTGAGGGGAATGCCTGCCTGTATCTGTAAATTCCTGGCACTCTCTCACCTAGCCTGTGGGGACTGAGCAGCTGTCCCATTATTCAAGCATACACAAAACAGGACCCTGAGTAATAATCACACCAGCATACCATCCCTTACTAGTCCTTCCTCCACGCAGGGGGTGGCACTAGGCACCCTAGACATATTCTGTCTAATCTCTTCTACATTGCTGCAGGTTGTGCTCAGGTGCCTGCTGTACAGATGAGGAGGCCGGGCTCAAAACCCACACTGGTCAGAATACACACACACACACACACACACACACACACACACACGCACATACACACATACACACACGTGCACACACACGCACCCCTGTGCATATGGAACTGTTCAGGCACACTTGATTCATTTTTCCAGACTCCAGAGGAGCAGAAAGATTTTAAATGAACATGAACCTTTTTTTTTTTTTTCTGTTTTGAGCCACACCCAGTGGTGCTCAAGCGTTACCCCTGGCTGTGCACTCAGGAATTACTCCTGGTGGTGCTCAGGAGACCATATGGGATGCCAGGGATTGAACCCAAGCTGGCTGCATGCAAGACAAGCACCTTATTCCATGTACTATCACTCTGGTCCCAAAATGGACACGAACCTTAAAGCGGAGTCTCACCATCAAGGATGGTGATTTTTTTTATCATCACCAATTTTAGTTACAGAAACATCATTGTGGGGAATGTGTGTGTTTTCATCCTCACATACAGGAGCAAATAAATCACAAAGCAGTCCAGATTGTCGCCTTAGCCTTTGCTTGTGACTGACCCTGTGTCCCACTGGCTAATGCCTCAATCCCAGAGGTCTAGAGAAAGGAGTCCAAATGCTGATAACTTAGCATTTAACTTAGTCATTGTTTCCCCAGCATCTTCTCAAGTGAAACTGGCACCTCAGTGACTACCTGATTATTGCCTGATTATTGTTCATGGCCTGGAGACTTCTGTCTGCACAGAATGCATTTACCCTCCCCAAGGTCTGACTGGCTACCTCTGCCACATAAGTTGGGCTCCAAGGGCAGACATGTCAGAAGGATTGTCAGAGAAGGAGGAGGGGGGAGGAGAAGCCAGTTGCTTTTCTTATTTCCCCCCTCCCTTCAGTTGCCTTGGTCATGACTCTCCTTTCCTTCTTTCTCCATCAGGTGCTGGAAACATGTGTGAAGAATTGTGGCCACCGCTTTCACATCCTTGTGGCCAACCGAGACTTCATCGACAGTGTCCTCGTCAAGATCATTTCCCCAAAAAACAACCCTCCTACCATTGTACAGGACAAAGTCCTTGCTCTGATTCAGGTAGGGGCTCCTTGGGCTGCTGTGTTGGGCTGGAGTGTGTGGTGCCTCTTATCAGTGAGGCTTCATGCTTTCCCACCTCTTGGAGGAAAGGGTGGGGGCTTCTGGGTTTAACTATTTGTTGCAAAATGCTTTGTGTGTACCTAGCCCACTGACTGAAACCCTAAGCAGTGGCTGTCCAGCCTACTGGCAGAGACCTCACTGAAACTGTCTGTTTGCTTGGTTCTCTGTTGCCCACAAGTCCTCTGAGTCATACGGGGCAGTGTGAAGAGGGAAGAGCCATCTTTCTTGACATGCTACACCACTGAGTCCCATGGCAAAAACCCACTGGAGGACAGGCAGGGTGGGGAAGGGAGAAATGGTGTTAAAGCATGGTTTACCAAGGAGGTGGCATTGCTGTTGGACCCTGAAGGATGACAGGAGCTTGGTAGAAATGTCAGAGTGCAAGAAACATCGTGAAGAAAACAAAGGTCCAGAAGCATGCAAGAAAGCAATTGACATACTTTGGATATATTCATTATCAGTTTCACTGTAATTAATTGTACTGCTAAGCCCCAAACTTAGCAATGTGAAACAATCAGTGTTTACAGTATTGGTTTCTGTGGACCAATACAGGAGCAACTTAGCTTAGTGATTAGCTTGGTAGCTCTTGGGGGTTGCACTCAAGATGTTGGCCAGGATTTCCTCATCTGAAGGCTCAGCTAGAGCTGAGAAGCACCTCCGAGATAGCCCTGCCTGGCTGTTGGTAAGGGCCTTTGTTCATTGCTGTGAGGAAGAGGCTGATTTCCTTGCTGTGTGGACAGATGGAGTGTCCTCGTGACACAGGTTGTGGGTTTCCTCTATAATAAGTGACCCAAGGGGCCAGAGCGATAGTACAGGGGCTAGGATGCTTGCCTTGCATGCAGCTGACCCAGGTTCGATCCCCAGCAACCCATATGGTCCCCCGAGTCCCACCAGGAGTAATTCCTGAGTGCAGAGTCAGAAGTAATTTCTGAGCATCTTTGGGTATGGCCCAAACACCAAAAAAGGATCAAAATAAGCAAAAAATTAAAAAATAATTAATCCGAGACAGACGAAGAAAGAAACTGTAGAACTTAACGCTGAGTCTCAGAAGTTAACATACTATCTTAACTGTTCTGTCCTTTAGAAGGAAGTCACCAGATCAGCCTCACGAGTAAGGGAAATAACTGCATCTCTTAAATAAAAGCCATTTTAACCTTTTGATGGAGAACAGAGTATAAGGCAGCTCATGTGATGCCAGGTTTGGGGTGCAGGAGAGGCAGTCAGAGGATGGTCCAGCACTTCGGGCTGTCCCTCTGTCCCACAGGCAGTGGAGAGCTGCTGGTCACTTCTGAATTGGAGTATGCAGCAGATCTGGATTTTAAACAAAAGGTGCTGGTACTGATTTGGAGGGCAAGTCCAAAGTGATTTGTGCCATGAAAGAGGAAAGATAAGGAGATGCAGGAGCCTATGATCTCGGGAGCCACAGAACAATAGTGGATTTTTGACAAGGGGAGCAGTAGGAGGCCATAAAGAGGACAGTGGTCATGGCCTGGGTGTCCATTGGCTCTGGCTTATTCTTTCCCTTCTGTGTCCTTGGCCTGGAATGTCCTCCCCAGCTCTTAAGGGGCCAGGAGGAACTCAGTCATTCATGTTGCCCTCAGAGCCTTCCCACAACATGAGTTAAGTCGCACATCTTGCTTCTTCATCTCTTTTTTGGGGGGTGTGAGGGGATTGAGAGAGGGCTGGGCATTCAAGCTGCTTCCAGGGCTAGCCCAGCTTTGTGCCTAGGGTTTTTTCCCTGACCTGCTCAGGGGACCATGCAGTGCTGGGAGTTGAACCTGAGTCTCCTGCAGGCCAAGCAGGCACTGAGCCTGTTGGGCTATTTCGCTGGTCCTTCTTCATGTCTTTTGTGGCTTTTAAGTACATTCCCATCATCCGCCTCCCTCTGAGTTCCCTGAGAGCTCAGAGACGTGATCTCCCCAGGGACTAGAGTAGTTGACAGTGTGAAACCGGTTTCAATACTTCACTGTCTTCTTAATGAATGAATGGGTGTAGTTCACTGAAGCTCTGAGAAGGGGAGGGGTGTGGGTAACAGCATCCTTCCATGCTTCCTGGTTTGTTCCCTTCCCTTCATCTGCTACCCTGTACACAGACTCACACAGACACAGACACAAACACACACACACACATTCACACACGCATGCACATACATACACACACATGCGCACATGTACACAAGCTTGTGCACACACGTGCACGTACACATGCACAGGCGTGCCTGTGTGATCATGCTCAGTGCACAGGTACATACCACCTCACCCCTGCTCTTCCCTCCCTCCTCTCTACCCGCAATTCCCTCCTGCAAGGACTTTCCCAGTATACTCCCCTGCCTCAACACCTCCAGTAGTGAATGTCAAGAATGTCAAGTGTCTTTTTATCACAAAAAGTGAGCTACAGAGCCTGAACCCCTCGTGCAGGCCATCAGTGGCCACAGGTGATGTCCCTCTGGAACAGACATGGAAGGAGCACTTCCTGCGGACAGGCCCTTAGGTGTCTACTACTGGGGGGAAGGGTACTTTCTGCCCTGGCTGTGCATCTGGTTCTCCCCAGGGAAGCCCGTCCCCACATTTTGCACTGATCTTTGAAGCATGTCCATGGAATTCCACGGGGCCACCTCCTCCCAGCATTGCTTCCCCATTGATGTGTAACCTTGGCAGCTGCTTTTACTTATTTGGTTACAGCCCCCTTTCCCATACATTGGAGGAGGGTATTGCCGCCTCTTCACCCAGCACTGTCTGTGAGTTAGCCCACCAGCAAACACAGCACCTTGTTCTAGGCCTCCTTCTGTTGGCCGGGCAGCAGGTGCACAGCTCTAGAACTTCTCTTGGGCCAGCTGCACTTTCAGGCTTGATGTCTCACTTCAGTGGATTTCTTCCTCCCCAGGTTTTGAACAATCCCTGAAAAACTTTCAGCTTTGGTCATGACCTTCTAGTAGAGAAAAGCAGGAAGCAGAGAGTTCAACCCCTGTCATGGGGTGAACCAAGCGAGTAAATCAGATCCCCAGACAGTTGTTTCATTTTCCTTTAACCTTTTTTGGAGGGGTATTGGGTCATGCTCATTGGTACTGAGGGGCTGTTGGTACTAAGGCACTTGCCTTAAGTGCAGCTGACCCCAGTTTAATCCCCAGTATTACATACAGTCCACAAAAAGAGCCCCAGTGTCCTGGGGGCACCGTCCAACTGACTTCTCACAGCATAGATGCCAAATGGGTTCTTCCTGCTCTTGGACCTGATCTGCATGGACTCCTGCTATGGCACTCCGTTCTGTCTGCCCTGCTATATGTGAGGTCATGGGGTATGATTTTATTGCTTTTGTTCCCATGACTGTGCCATCCTACTGATTAATGCACTTCAGTGTATATTGCCCATTGTTGGCATCACTTGGTATTTTCAGTTTGGGGTCATTATGAAAATTACTGCTCTGAGCATCTAGCATAGATCTTCTGGTGAACACATGTGCTCATCTTACTGAGTGTATACTAAATTGAATATATAAAAATGCCATCTTCGCAAATAAAAAATGAATGAAATTGGGGTGTTCTGACAAAGTAGTGGAATGATTAGTATGGTATTTGTAGCATACCATACTAATAGTTATTGTTCATTGATTTGCTCGAGCAGGCACCAGTAATGTCTCCCTTGTGAGACTTGTCGTTACTGCTTTTGGCATATCAAATATGTCACAGGGAGCTTGCCAGGCTCTGCTGTGCAGGCGGGATACTCTCAGTAGCTTGCCAGGCTCTCCGAGAGGGAAGGAGGAATCGAACCTGGGTCTGCTGCATGCAAGGCAAACGCCCTACCCGCTGTGCTATCACTCCAGGCTAACTAAAAAAAAAAAAAAAAAAAAATTCAGGTTCTTTATCACACAGCAGGGTCTGGCAAACTCCCCGTGGCATATGCCAAAAACCAGTAACAATTATGGGTCTCATTCTCCTGACCCTGAAATAGCCTCGAATGTGGCACTTTTTAAAATCTGAGGGCTAGGAGGAAGGAGACGTTACTGGGGCCTGCTCGAGGCAATCGATAAACAACAGGAAGACAGTGATACAGTGATTACTTTTATTTATACAATCAAGCTTCACTTTTCTACCCTTATCATTATAGCTACTGTAATGGTTAAAACTTACAGGTTTTATGGATGGCTGAAACACTGGCAAAAGGTAAGAAAATACACAAGTAACATTAATATAGATAAAACAAAAACAGCATAGTTAAAAAAAACCAGTGATGGCTGCTGGTTTTTTTTTTTTTTTAAGTAAATAGATTTTATTTGGGGGTTTTGGAGAGGAAGAGAATGAGAGAGTAACATACTCAAGAGAGAACACGGGCTTCTCCAAGGGTGGAGAGAGCCCCTACACACATCCTAGCGTTAGACACGAAAGCATGAAAGTACACATCTCAAGAGGGAAGATGCGGGCGACACATGTGCTCAGCCCACATGTGCTCGGCCATGTGGGCGCAAGCAGCACAAGCTCGGGCAGCATATGCGCCATGGCTGCTGTTTTAAGGATCATATGTTTCCCTCCTTCTCTCCAAAAGGAAAGTAAAAATAAATGTAATACCTCTGAGTATGAGTGTGAGTATGAGTTTGGGGAGGATTATGCTCTGACAAAATAAGGAACAAGGCTTAGTGGTAAAGTGTGAATTATGAACACAGTTGTGGAGGGGATGGGATAGAACTACTGGAGTGGCACTTTCCTAACACTAAAGTATCTGGAGAGCTATATAAACAATATTCAATAGTTAAAGAATAAATATTTGTATACCAAAACATCAGTTTCTGAAAAGGACCATATTTCTGGAGACTCATAGGACGATGAAGGACAGACAAATAAAAAGTAAAAATAATTAAAAATACAAAATAGTGTAGTCACTTTATTGGATACATCAAGATAGACTATCCACACTATACATGTCCCAGAGAGATCTCAGGAAGATTAA